AAAACTTATTTCGATATGAGGCAAATGTGATAGAATGTAAAAAGTTAATGAAATTTTTTTTTGTTCTAAATATGCATAAGGGTACACCTGTGGAAATGGTATGGGATGCAAGTAAAGCATATATGAGAGGAGTTTTAATAAATTTGAATAATTCCTACAGATGTAGACAGAGGAAAAAACAGAGGGAATTGGAAGAGGAAATAAAAAAGAAGGAACAGGCGTTAGTGAATAAACCAGATGACAAGAATATAAAAGAAGCCATTACAATATTGCGAGGACAGTTTAATATGTTGATGTCAGATCAAGTTGCAACCAACTTGCAATATGCTAAACATAATACTTTTTGTAATGCAAATAAACCAGGCAGGTGGTTAGCATATATGTTAAGGAAAAAACAAAAATCTCGTACAATAGAAAAAATAGAGTATAAAGGTAAAGAGGTATATCAACAGAATATGATTAAAAAAGCATTTTTAGATTTTTATATGAGGTTATATGCTGGTGATAATATACAAGGTAAGGATATAGAGAGATATTTGCAGAAGGAAAATATTCTTGCAATTACTGATGAACAAAGAGAAAGATTGAATGTATTAATAACCACCGAAGAAATTCTTTTGGCAATTAAACAATTAAAAAGTGGAAAGGCTCCTGGCACAGATGGTTTGACAGCAGTGTATTATAAAAATTTTCAATTAGAAATGGTAGAGCCTCTTAAGGAGTTATTTGCTAAAATACAATGGGGAGGAGAAGTGCCACCATCCTGGAGAACAGCTTTTATTTTCCTGATCCCAAAAGAAGATCAAGATCATAGTCAACCCAAAAATTACAGACCCATATCATTGCTTAATACAGATTATAAGATCTTTGCAAAAATTTTGGCAAATAGACTAATGTCAGTCATGCAACAAGTGATTCATAAAGATCAAACTGGATTTATACAAGGGAGACAAATGAAAAGTAATGTAAGACAAATTGTTAATATACTGGAGTATTTGAGGAAGAACAACCAAGTCCCTGCAGTGCTTATGTTTCTGGATGCAGAGAAAGCGTTTGATTGATTGAATTGGCAGTTTTTAGTGAAAGTAGCACAAAAGATGCAGTTGGGAGAGCATTTCATACAATCTATTAAGGCAATATACCAGAAACAAACAGCACAAATAATAGTTAATGGTAGCCTCACAGAAATGTTTAAAATTGAGACAGGAACAAGACAGGGATGTCCCTTGTCTCCACTACTGTTTATTTTAACTTTGGAAGTATTGCTGAATAAAATATGGGACTTGGATAACATACAGGGTATTAAGATCAGGCAACATGATTATAGATTATGAGCATTTGCAGATGATTTGGTTGTAACTTTAACCCAACCAGTAAATTCAGTTACAGGTTTGATGGAGATAATTAGGCAATATGGTCAAGTGTCAGGGTTTAAAATAAATATAGGGAAAACAAAGATGATAGCTAAGAATATGAATACAAATCAAAAAGAAGATATGGAAAGAGTAACAGGATGTGAGATAGTGAAAAAGGTTAAGTACTTAGGAATTGTTATTACAACGTCAAATGGGAAATTATACAAGTATAATTATGAATTGTTATGGCATAAAATACAGACAGAGATGAATAAATGGGAAAAATTACAACTGTCTTTGTTGGGAAGAATAGCAGTAGTTAAAATGAATGTTCTGCCCAAGTTTTTATTTCTTTTTCAAATGATACCAATACTTTAAAAGGATGCAAATTTGGAGGAATGGCAGAGAGGCATTAACAACTTTGTTTGGGTAGGGAAGAGACTGAGAGTTAAATTAAAAATAATGCAGGATACACGTGAAAGAGGAGGTTTGAAATTGCCCAATCTAAAATTGTACTATGAAGCAGCTGTTTTGTCAGCAATTAGTGATTGGATTAATTTAACAGATGAAAGAATACTGAATATTGAAGGGTATGATTTGCTATATGGTTGGCATGCCTATTTAGCTTATGAGAAGACGGTGGATAGGACTTTTAAAAGTCATATATTAAGGAATGCCCTCCTGCGTGTTTGGAAAAAATACCAATATAAATTGAATGGCAAGATACCCATGTGGGTAGTACCCAGACATGCGATAGAAAATATAAGTATAGAACAAAGACAGGATGTAATTACTTATAAAGAACTTCTGTTTACAGAAAGAAATGTACTACAGTAAAAGCCTCTGAATGTACTAAGAGAGGAAAGAGCAATTCAAACCTGGTTTCCGTATGTACAGCTGCAGAATAGATGGAAAAAGGATCGGAGAATTGGTATTATACAAAGTGAAGAAAATTTGATAAAACAAATTAGGGACCAGAGTAGAATGCACATAAAAAGGTTGTATAATATTTTGATAGAAATAGATTCGGAGACAGAGTTAATTAAAGATTGTATGATAAAATGGGCACAAAATTTTGAGGAACCAATAATGATGGAAACATGGGAAAGGATCTGGGTAAGGAATGTAAAATTTATACAAGCTCAAAATTTGAGAGAAAATTTTTATAAAATGTTTTATAGATGGCATTTGGATCCTAAAAAGTTAGCTTGTATGTACCCAAACTTACAACCTAAATGTTGGAGATGTGATTGTGTTGATGCTACCTATTTTCATGTTTGGTGAACTTGTAAAAAAGTTAAAGCATTTTGGATAAAAATATGGTGGATTATTCAAAATATTTTTAAAAAGGATAAAGTTTACTCCACAGTTGTTTTTGTTAGGTATAATTACAGATTGTACGGCTATAGAGACTAATTTGATTTTGAACTTAATAACTGCAGCAAGACTCTTGGTGGCACAGTACTGGAAGAAGGAAGATTTACCTACTATTCAAGAATGGACATTAAAAGTAGTAAATTTAGCAGAAATGGCGAAAATTTCAGCATACCTAAAGGACCATTCAAATGAGAAATATATGTTAGAATGGAAAAGATGGATTGATTATATTCAAGGCAAATATCGGACTAAAAAATTTCAAATAGCTTATGAATGATTAAAGAGATTTTATAAAGTACTTAAATTTAGTTTAGTAAAAGGGGAGTTAAAAGTTCAAGATGGGGATAGGAGGCTATAGATAATTAGCTTATGTTAGCTTATGATTGTCAAATGTTATACCCTGTATTTTGCTCTGGGAAGTGGGGGGGGAGGGAGGGGAAGGAGAGGGTTGGAAGGGGAGCAGGGAGGGGGAAGGGGAAATGTCTGTAAAACTTTTTAAAACTTTTCAATAAAAAAAAAAAATTTAGAATTACTAAAACAGTACCTAGATTCTGATCAGATTAAATGTTGTTACATTTAAAACATCAGGGTTGGAAAGAGAGAGGGATTCTATACTGCAATGCTTGTCAAACCTGGAGACTATAGGTTCATGAACCTATAGTTCATAGTCACAGAATTCCCCAGCCAGTCATATTAGAAATTCTGGGAGTTGAAGCTCACACATCTTAAAGTTGCAAAAATTGATAAACAAAGAGATAACCATGTTTTCCCAAAAATATGAGCTACCCTGAAAACAAGCCCTAGCCCAATTTGCATGCCTGCACCTAATATAAGCCCTACCCCCCAAAATAAGCCCTAGTTAAGGCCCGCCCACCATCTGGTTGTACAAGGTGCGGCAAGGTGCAGGCATAAAGATCAAGCTAGGGTGGGGTTCGGGGGTGGAACTGCCCTATGCGCCCCGCACCCACTTACTTAGGACTACTGCAGCTGGGCCTCTCACGCACCGAACCTGTTGCACTGCTGCACAGCTTGCAGCTGCTTGCAGCTACACGCACAGGTGCCACCATTCATGGCAGAATGCTAAAAAGGCTTGTCACTCCAGTACTGCAGCTTGCATAATGCTGCAAGACTCGTTGCATCAGTATCGCTGCTCACACACGCAATGGCACAATACAACACACAGCCTCCTGCTGTAACCGGCAGCACTGGCACAACAAGCCACCCGGTGTCTGGCTGCAAGCGGCCACAGAAGTCAGGCAGTGGTGCGACAAGTGTTGGGGTGTGGGAGGTATGGCTGCAGTGGTCCTAAAGTAAGCAGGTAAGACATCCCACAAATTAAGACCTGGTGCTTCTTTTGGGGGTGAAAAGACTTATTTTCAGGAAAACATTTGGCAGTAATTTGGCAGTAAACAATAGAAAATAAGAGTTAGGATTAGGGTTAGTGTTAGTGTTAGAGATGAAAGCAAGCAAAAGATTAGAACAGAAATGCACTATAAAAGTCAGCTAACTTGCCACTAGTGAAACTTTTGCTTGTTTGCTACTTATTAGCAAACCAAATAATAATAGGATCAGATTCTTACTGATATTCAACTAACTTAAAAGAAAAGTGTAGCATATTAACATTGAAGACAATTAATGTTGCTTCCAAAAGGCAAGGAAGCTAAAAAAAGACATGATTGCCATAGCAGAATGAAGCAGTAATTGATAATTAATGGAATGGAATGGCTGTAAACTGTAAACTAGGATTACAAGAAAACACAATTCCAATTCCAGGGATATGAGTTTAATTTCCATTATTAATTATTATACCATTCTATTTTGATATTTTAATAGTATTCAAATTAGTTTAGTTGATGAGTAATGCAAATAGAACATATTATGTATATTAATATAGAATATAGAATAATATAGAAAAATGTCACAATTATCTCTGAAATATATGACAGTTATTGTAAATTAATTGATGGCCTTGTTAATTTTTATTTATTTATTTATTTATTTATTTTTCATATTTGTATACCCCGCTACTCCCGAAGGACTCAGGGCGGTGAACAGCCATAATAAATACAAATACATATAGAAGTTAAAAACTATTAAGAAACAGATTAAGTAATTTAATGCCTGAAATTTCTGTAAAGAATTTTCTTAAAGGAAGAGGAAACAGATATGTACAAATTATGGAAATGATTTTTTTTTAAATTTGGTTTTAGTGATTTGTCCACTTTTGATTTGATTTGCTTTTGTAAATTTCAATGATCACATACTCACACAGCACTTATTATATGATCAGCTTCTTCCTGGGAATTAAACATCCAATCCTTTTTAATTTGTGTGCTTATATTTGTGTGCTTATATTTCATAATCTGTCAGAAAACAGGAATTGTAACAATTTACTTTTTTTTAAATACTGAAGTATTTCATGACTTCTGGGTCTTTTACAAAGCAAATTCCTTTTATGTTTCACATAAATTGCTTATAGTCTAGCACAGGGGTCTGCAAACTTAAACACTCAAAGAGCCATTTTGACCTGTTTCCCACAGAAAAGAAAACACTGGGAGTCACAAAACCCTTCCCGTGCCTGACTATTTCTTGAGTGGCCACAAAAGTAGCATATGTAGTTGAATTAAATGTTCTGTTTTCTTCTGAAACTTTTCTTTTCTTGGATTTATCTATGGTTGGCTTACTGGGGGTTGAAAAGCTCAATAAATCGCGTGCCAGCGGGTGTTGCACATTGGCGGTTGTGATACATATTTTGAGTGACAGGGAGCCGCAGCAGAGGGGTGAAAGAGCCACATGCGACTCTGGAGTAGATTCTGCACTTAGCAAAGGGACGAAGTAGGTGAATTACAAAGAATATCCCTGCTGAGATAGGCTAAACTTAAGGCCTGACTAGCCCAAACTTCTCTTTCCTTAATGGTCATTAGTCGGTCCATAGACTTTCCTCTGATATTATGTACACCCTGACATATGGTATTGAGTGGCATGCTGCCTCTGATACTGGATATTTTATATGTAATGTTCACCAGGGTTCAGTGCTTTCTCTGCTCTTGTTTAATATCTGGAGCCAGTGGGTGAGAGATCATCTGTCATCAGGGGATGAGATATCATCCATATTCTAATGATACCCAGCTTTATAATCTGCCCATGATGAATTAAGTAATGCTCTCTTGGTATCTGGAGGCTGGAGCAGGGGCACTGAATGGGAAATAATAGGCTTCAACTTAGCCCTGGAAGATTGAATAGGTTTGAGTTTGGCACCCTTCTGATTCTATGGATTATCATCTTTATTGTAGAAGAGTAGAATAAGTAGCACTATCCTAAAAAAGAAAAAGTGCAAAATCTGGGGTCCTCAGACACTTGTGATTCTTACTCAAAGAGCAAGTGGCAGCCTACAGGCCTTTGCAGAGATTTATATATATGTCTTAGAAAAGAAAAATAAATACTAATAAGTTTGGCTTTTTTCCTATTTTTTCACTGGCTATCATTTCTTTAAAAGAGAAAAAGGCCCTTAATTGAAGTACAAAAGAAATGCCATTATTTCTAGTCAATTACAATCTGTTCTGCAAATGTCACTTTGTTTTCTTTGTTGCAGCATTTCTATATTATTTTAAAGGAGTTTTTAACGTGTGGTGTATAATTGCCATGATATTCTGTTTCCCAGGTCTGTCTATCTGTCTCTGTGTAGGAGTGTGTAAGAGACATTTACCTGACTTTCTGAAAATTTAAATTACTAATAGCAGGTGACCCCTATTTCACTTCTTTTTTCTTTCACTTTTTTGGAGGTAGAATTTTCAGAATATAAATGTAGACTGCTAAAATCCAGTTGATCTCATAACAAAATAGCACTTCTGTCAATCTTGTAATAATACAGATCCTTCTGCATTCAATATCCGACCAAATATCTTACAGATCAATGACTTTAGATATAATTCTCTAGAATTTGATTGGTATTTCCTGCAACCTTACTTATAACTGTATTTTATAGTTTTCACTTTTTTTATAATACATCGACTTTTTAATCTATGTTTTTAAGCATGTCTAAGAAAGCATTCCAAATACCTGTAACTGATCATTAATGTATGAAGTTCTTAAAATCTCTGCAGCTGATGGCCTCAGTGAAGGGTTCTTATTCAGCATTCTAAAATATTAACAATATGAAATGAATCAATATTGACATTAACAAAAGATATAATGGAAAAAATAAAATCCAAACAAACATACCCACCTATGCAAGACAGCATCAAGTTCTCTTGAAAAATTGTCTGGAAGAGAAGGTGTTTTGCTCTCTACAATTTTCAGAACAATGGATAAAAAACTATGACCAGTAAACGTGTGATTCAAACAACACATCTCATACAAAATGCATCCAAGTGACCTGGAATACAAGATAAAAATGATTCAAGGACAAGCAGTGATTCTAAATTCATGCCTAGTGACTGCTTATATTTATCTTGTAGTCCTGGTGAAAAGAAATGATAAGTTCCCTACAGACAAAAATAAAATATACTTTCTCCAAACTATAAAATCATACCTAGCATACATTTAGATATATGAGTAATAAAATAGATTTTTTGTGATCAACCTAAGTACATAGCAAGATAAAAATACATTTTACAGGTAAAATTGTAAAAAATACAGATAATCCATAACAGAGTTATGGTCATTAGCCCAGAATTATGGCCATACATCATTGCAGTCTTAAGGCATCACATGATTCAAAGTTATGATTATTTTTATGGTAGCTGTTAGGTGAACATAGTGGTCATTAAGCAAACAGTGCACTTGTTAAGCAAATCCTTTTCCCCCAATGGGTATTTTTTTGCCAGAAATTGGAAATACACATTGGAAACCAACAAAAAGTTACAAATCACAGCCATGTGACAAAGGGATGCTGCAAATGATTGTAAAACTTAACTATTTGCCAAGTGCCCAAAATGCAGTCATGCAATTGCTGTGTGTGTCTGTGTCATAACTCCCAAACCAGTTGTAAATAGTTCTGGGTGGTCCATTGTAACTTTGAATGCTCATGGATTACTTGTGAATTAGCAATAGTTTGATGCTATTCAATTGCTTCAGTTCTACTGCAGCTATGCTTTGGAATAGCATCTCCACAAACTTTGAAGTAGTTCCCATGTGCTGATTTACAAGCAATTTTTGAAAACCTGACATTTCCCCCAAGCCTTGCTTAGGATATTTGGGTAGACCCTTTCCAGTTGGAGCATGAAATGGACAGACCGTATGTCAATTGTCAATTTTTATTTGATGCTGTTCTTTTAAATAAATAAATAGACCTTGACTTTTGACTGTAATGGAAATGGCCCATTACTGTTGCATGTGATGATAGCTATTAATGACCGATCCCCTGCTCTACCTGATGTTAAATGAACACATAGTTTATTAAGTGAAACACAAAGTACCTCATGGGTGAGGGAAGGCCCTGAAAGGCCTAGCACAGGTCAAGGCCCAATTGCCCCAGTGTCCTTAAGACAACTCCCATCCCTTGCTTTTTGCTCCTTGGGTCTCCAAAGGCTTTGGAACTGCTTCCCACTACATTAGCCCCATACCCTCCTCCTCACTTACCGTCTGAGGAGTTCAGGAGCTTTCCACAGCACTGGAACAGATTTGTGTTACCTAATACCAGAAGCTGCCATCATGTTCCCAGTATTCACAATTGAATGTGTCCACTGGGAACACAGGAGCCACTTCCAGAATGCTGAAACACAATGAACTGTTTTATTTTGCTTGCCTAACATAGTCTGCACAGTCCTGCAGAAAGCATCAGGGCCCAGGAACTTTCCACAGTGGTATGCAGATCTTGTTAGTGAAGCAATATGGTATTTTGTCACTCAAACAACCAGAGTCGCAGCGCCCCAAAAATGGACGTTCAGGTACGCAACGTCTGTTTTCCATTGCGCTGCTCCTCCAATCCCTGGACGGGATGTACCCAAGTTCAATTGCCTAGGGCGGAAGGCTGACTGTTATCCTCATTCTGGGACGTGGCCACTTGTTGTAGAACTCGACGTCCAAAGGATGCATCAGACGAGGCATACAAGTCAATTTTATAATGTTTTATAAAGGAAGTGGCAGAAGCCCATGAGGCTGCTCGACAGATGTCCAGCACTGATGCATTTGTAGACCAAGCTGCCGACGCAGCCGCACTGCGAGTTGAATGAGCGTATATTTTAGCCGGATGTGGGCGTGCTCGAATATCATAGGCAGTCGAAATACAGGCTTTAATCCATCTGGCAATCGTAGCAGAAGACACCTTCCGACCCATCGAGGAAGGAGTGAAGGAAACTAGCAAGGACTCAGTCTGTCGAAAAGATTCTGTATGCTTAATGTAACGGCGAAGGGCACGTCTAACGTCCAAGGTATGCCATAAAGACTCAGTCTGGTGACGAGGATTCGGACAAAAGTTAGGGAGAACTAACTCTTGGGTTTGGTGGAACCGGGAGTTTACTTTGGTCAAGAAAGTTGGGTCCAAGCGCATCACCACTCTGTCACTATAGAAAACACAAAGGTCCTTGTGGACAGATAGTGCAGTGAGTTCAGATACTCATCTAGCTGAAGTGATGGCCAGTAAAAAGGTGACCTTAAGAGTTAGAAACTGAAGGGATACAGAAGCCAAGGGCTCAAATGGTGTGCTGGTAAGGACTTGAAGGACCAATGTTAAATCCCAGGATGGGTATCTATGTACCACCGGAGGGGAAATATTGGATGCCCCATGTAGAAAGCTCTTAATCCTCGGATTTAAAGACAGTGCGCGGTGTTTCTCGCACATGAGGACAGTGGATAAAGCAGCCACCTGACACCTGAGCGTGGCTGGGGCCAGACCTTTAGCTAAGCCATCATGTAAAAAGTCTAGCACATCCGGGACATCCGCTGATGTCGGGTCCACATGGTGGGCTAAACACCAGGTAGAGAACGCTCGCCATGAAGCTTCATAAATCCTAGTGGTGGAAGGACGCCTGGCTGCTTGAATCACCTTGATGACATCAGATGACAATCTGTCCTTTTGTAGTTGGAGCCGCTCAAGCGCCAGGCAGTCAATCGGAGCCACCCTGGATCTGGGTGGAAGATGACCCCCTGGCGGAGCATATCCTCTCTCGGTGGCATTGACCATGATGGTGAGCTGGACAGATCCACTAGGTCTGCGTACCAGGACCTGCGAGGTCACTGAGGGGCAATTAGAATCAACTCGGCACCTCCGAACAAGAGTTTTCGAATTAGTTTCGGGATCAACGGCAAGGGGGGGAAGGCGTAGAGAAGCCCGGGAGGCCACTGACAGCGTAGAGCGTCGAAACCTTCTGCTCCAGTGGTCGGGTAACATGTGTAAAATCTCAGTAGCTGGGCGTTCTGGGGAGTGGCGAAGAGATCCACCTGTGGATGACCAAATCGGTCCACAATTTGTTCGAAGAGGACAGGGTTCAGAGACCACTCTGCAGGATTGATGTGCTCCCTGCTGAGCCAGTCCACTGTGATGTTAGCCTGCCCCGAGATGTGGTCCACTACTAGAGATGCCGTGTGCCATTCCGCCCAAGCCAACAGTCTCTCCGACTCCAGCATCAGGGATCTGGAACATGTGCCCCCCTCCCGATTTATGTGCGCCTTGGTGGCGACATTGTCCGTCCGGACTAACACATGTTGCCCCTCCAATGTGTGAACGAAGTGGCGTAAAGCGAGACGAACAGCCCTCAACTCCAGCCAATTGATGCTGTTCGCCCGCTCCGCCAGGGACCACTGACCTTGAATCACATCGTTTCGTAGGTGGGCTCCCTAGCCCAGAAGACTGGTGTCGGTAGTTAGAACAAGATGGTCTGGTTCGAGAAAAAAACATCCTCTTTGAAGAGCGGGGGACCTCCACCACGTGAGTAACATTTGGGTTTGTGGAGGTAGGACAATCTGATGTGTTGATGTACTGTGGTTCGCCTTCTGAAAGGGAAGTAACAGCCACTGGAGGGGCCGGGAGTGTCTGTGTGCCCACGGAACGACATGGATGCAGGATATTAACTTTCCTAACAACTGGGTCAACAGGAGTAAAGGTACCTTCCTCTGACCTTGAACTTGCCGCACCATCTTCTTGATGTCGAGAATGCGATTTGGTGAGAGAAAAACTTGCCCCAGCTGTGAATCGATCACTGTCCCCAAGTGCTGGAGGCGTGTCGTTGGTGTCAGGTGGCTCTTTTGACGGTTGATGGAAAAACCGTGGTTCTGGAACACCTTTAGAACCACCTCCATGTCCTTCTTCACCTGTGAAGGAGAAGTTGACAAGACCAGTAAGTCGTCGAGGTAACAGCTAAGACGGATCGATTGAGACCTGTTGGAAGCAGCGACCACCGTAACCAGTTTCGTGAAGGTTCTTGGGGCCGATGAAAGACCGAAAGGCATCGCGCAATATTGAAAATGCATGTTGTTGTATTCGAAGCAGAGGTAGCGACGATGCAACGGATGTATTGGGACATGCAAGTATGCTTCGCGAAGATCTACAGATTGAAGGTAGTCCCCTTGCCTGATGGCCACCAGAATCGACTTGAGGGAATGCATCTTGAACCTGCGATACAGTATATACTGATTGAGACGTTTCAGGTTCAAGGTGCCCCTGTGGCCCCCCGATGACTTGGGCACCAGAAATAAGGTAGCATAGAACCCAGTTCGCTCCTGACCTTTGGGCACCGGTTCTACAGCTTTGATGGAGAGGAGGTGCGATATCTCTGTTTCCATAAGCGCCCTCTGAACCAGGCACCGAGGCACTGGGCAGCGACGAAACCTGGTCGGTGGTAAGGTATGGAACTCGAGACGAAGGCCATGTTGAACCGAGCGGCGGATCCAAGCGTCGGTTGTTGAGAGGTTCCACTGGAGGTAGAAATGCTGGAGTCAACTCCCAATAGGACCTGGAACCAGCTAGTCATTTGCCTCTGCGAGCTGGGCGATAGGCTCCCCTGAAGGTATGTTTGGATTGTGACTGGTTCCTGGCTCTATCACGAAATGGCTGCCTGTCCAAGGTACGGTCAAAGTTCTGGGCATAAGAGCGTGGAAAGTAGGACCCTCCAGACCCCGTGTAAGATCGAAAGGACTGACGCTGTGTGTAAGGCATATATCTCCTCTCCTGGCGGCGGTAAGAGGAGGGAAGGACCTTGCGTTTGTCCTTGTCTTCTATCAATATCGGCTCCAGACAAGCACCAAATAGAGACGGTGCGGCGAAAGGTGCTGACACCAACTTCCACTTTGCTTTGTTGTCTGCCCGCCAATTGCGAAGCCAGAAGAGTAGTCTGTTGGTCACTGCTGCCGCCATCGCCCGTGATACAAATTTGGCCACCGTCAAGGAAGCATCCGCCGAGTACTCCGTTGCTGCCACTAATTTATTAATGTCTTGAT